CATAAAATTAACAAGTTAAACAGACCACTCCAACAAAAGGTTTAAAGAGTCCATGGGTGAGTTTCTTCAGTCTAACATACCATTAACAAGTTAAACAGACCACTCCAACAAAAGGTTTAAAGAGTCCGTGGATGAGTTTCTTCAGTCTAACATAAAATTAACAAGTTAAACAGACCACTCCAACAAAAGGTTTAAAGAGTCCATGGATGAGTTTCTTCAGTCTAACATACCATTAACAAGTTAAACAGACCACTCCAACAAAAGGTTTAAAGAGTCCATGGGTGAGTTTCTTCAGTCTAACATAAAATTAACAAGTTAAACAGACCATTCCAACAAAAGGTTTAAAGTGTCCATGGATGAGTTTCTTCTGTCTAACATAAAATTAACAAGTTAAACAGACCACTCCAACAAAAGGTTTAAAGTGTCCATGGATGAGTTTAGATCAGTCTAACATAAAATTAACAAGTTAAACAGACCACTCCAACAAAAGGTTTAAGAGAGTCGTGGATGAGTTTCTTCAGTCTAACATAAAATTAACAAGTTAAACAGACCACTTCCAACAAAAGGTTTAAAGAGTCCATGGATGAGTTTCTTCAGTCTAACATAAAATTAACAAGTTAAACAGACCACTCCAACAAAAGGTTTAAAGAGTCCGTGGATGAGTTTCTTCAGTCTAACATAAAATTAACAAGTTAAACAGACCACTCCAACAAAAAGGTTTAAAGTGTCCATGGATGAGTTTCTTCAGTCTAACATAAAATTAACAAGTTAAACAGACCACTCCAACAAAAGGTTTAAAAAGAGTCCATGGGTGAGTTTCTTCAGTCTAACATACCATTTAACAAGTTAAACAGACCACTCCAACAAAGGTTTAAAGAGTCAAGTGGATGAGTTTCTTCAGTCTAACATAAAATTAACAAGTTAAACAGACCACTCAACAAAAGGTTTAAAGAGTCCATGGATGAGTTTCTTCAGTCTAACATACCATTAACAAGTTAAACAGACCACTCCAACAAAAGGTTTAAAGAGTCCATGGGTGAGTTTCTTCAGTCTAACATAAAATTAACAAGTTAAACAGACTATTCCAACAAAAGGTTTAAAAGTGTCCATGGATGAGTTTCTTCAGTCTAACATAAAATTAACAAGTTAAACAGACCACTCCAACAAAAAGGTTTAAAGAGTCCATGGGTGAGTTTCTTCAGTCTAACATAAAATTAACAAGTTAAACAGACCATTCCAACAAAAGGTTTAAAGTGTCCATGGATGAGTTTCTTCAGTCTAACATAAAATTAACAAGCTAAACAGACTATTCCAACAAAAGGTTTAAAGTGTCCATGGGTGAGTTTCTTCAGTCTAACATAAAATTAACAAGTTAAACAGACTATTCCAAGAAAAGGTTTAAAGTGTCCATGGATGAGTTTCTTCAGTCTAACATAAAATTAACAAGTTAAACAGACCACTCCAACAAAAGGTTTAAAGAGTCCATGGATGAGTTTCTTCAGTCTAACATAAAATTAACAAGTTAAACAGACCACTCCAACAAAAGGTTTAAAGAGTCCGTGGATGAGTTTCTTCAGTCTAACATAAAATTAACAAGTTAAACAGACCACTCCAACAAAAGGTTTAAAGTGTCCATGGATGAGTTTCTTCAGTTTAACATAAAATTAACAAGTTAAACAGACAACTCCAACAAAAAGGTTTAAAAAGAGTCCATGGATGAGTTTCTTCAGTCTAACATAAAATTAACAAGTTAAACAGACCACTCCAACAAAAGGTTTAAAGAGTCCGTGGATGAGTTTCTTCAGTCTAACATAAAATTAACAAGTTAAACAGACCACTCCAACAAAAGGTTTAAAGAGTCCATGGATGAGTTTCTTCAGTCTAACATAAAATTAACAAGTTAAACAGACCACTCCAACAAAAGGTTTAAAAAAGAGTCCATGGGTGAGTTTCTTCAGTCTAACATACCATTAACAAGTTAAACAGACCACTCCAACAAAAGGTTTAAAGAGTCTGTGGATGAGTTTCTTCAGTCTAACATAAAATTAACAAGTTAAACAGACCACTCCAACAAAAGGTTTAAAGAGTCCATGGATGAGTTTCTTCAGTCTAACATACCATTAACAAGTTAAACAGACCACTCCAACAAAAGGTTTAAAGAGTCCATGGGTGAGTTTCTTCAGTCTAACATAAAATTAACAAGTTAAACAGACCATTCCAACAAAAGGTTTAAAGTGTCCATGGTTGAGTTTCTTCTGTCTAACATAAAATTAACAAGTTAAACAGACCACTCCAACAAAAGGTTTAAAGAGTCCATGGATGAGTTTCTTCAGTCTAACATAAAATTAACAAGTTAAACAGACCACTCCAACAAAAGGTTTAAAGTGTCCATGGATGAGTTTCTTCAGTCTAACATAAAATTAACAAGTTAAACAGACCACTCCAACAAAAGGTTTAAAGAGTCCATGGGTGAGTTTCTTCAGTCTAACATACCATTAACAAGTTAAACAGACCACTCCAACAAAAAGGTTTAAAGAGTTAGGTGGATGAGTTTCTTCAGTCTAACATAAAATTAACAAGTTAAACAGACCACTCCAACAAAAAGGTTTAAAGAGTCCATGGATGAGTTTCTTCAGTCTAACATACCATTAACAAGTTAAACAGACCACTCCAACAAAAAGGTTTAAAGAGTCCATGGTGTGAGTTTCTTCAGTCTAACATAAAATTAACAAGTTAAACAGACCATTCCAACAAAAGGTTTAAAGTGTCCATGGATGAGTTTCTTCTGTCTAACATAAAATTAACAAGTTAAACAGACCACTCCAACAAAAGGTTTAAAGTGTCCATGGATGAGTTTAGATCAGTCTAACATAAAATTAACAAGTTAAACAGACCACTCCAACAAAAGGTTTAAAGAGTCCATGGATGAGTTTCTTCAGTCTAACATAAAATTAACAAGTTAAACAGACCACTCAACAAAAAAGGTTTAAAGAGTCCATGGATGAGTTTCTTCAGTCTAACATAAAATTAACAAGTTAAACAGACCACTCCAACAAAAAGGTTTAAAGAGTCCGTGGATGAGTTTCTTCAGTCTAACATAAAATTAACAAGTTAAAACAGACCACTCCAACAAAAGGTTTAAAGAGTCCATGGATGAGTTTCTTCAGTCTAACATAAAAATTAACAAGTTAAACAGACCACTCCAACAAAAGGTTTAAAAGAGTCCATGGGTGAGTTTCTTCAGTCTAACATACCATTAACAAGTTAAACAGACCACTCCAACAAAGGTTTTAAAGAGTCCGTGGATGAGTTTCTTCAGTCTAACATAAAATTAACAAGTTAAACAGACCACTCCAACAAAAGGTTTAAAGAGTCCATGGATGAGTTTCTTCAGTCTAACATACCATTAACAAGTTAAACAGACCACTCCAACAAAAGGTTTAAAGAGTCCATGGGTGAGTTTCTTCAGTCTAACATAAAATTAACAAGTTAAACAGACCATTCCAACAAAAGGTTTAAAGTGTCCATGGATGAGTTTCTTCTGTCTAACATAAAATTAACAAGTTAAACAGACCACTCCAACAAAAGGTTTAAAGAGTCCATGGATGAGTTTCTTCAGTCTAACATAAAATTAACAAGTTAAACAGACCACTCCAACAAAAGGTTTAAAGAGTCCATGGGTGAGTTTCTTCAGTCTAACATACCATTAACAAGTTAAACAGACCACTCCAACAAAAGGTTTAAAGAGTCCGTGGATGAGTTTCTTCAGTCTAACATAAAATTAACAAGTTAAACAGACCACTCCAACAAAAGGTTTAAAGAGTCCATGGATGAGTTTCTTCAGTCTAACATACCATTAACAAGTTAAACAGACCACTCCAACAAAAGGTTTAAAGAGTCCATGGGTGAGTTTCTTCAGTCTAACATAAAATTAACAAGTTAAACAGACCATTCCAACAAAGGTTTAAAAAAGTGTCCATGGATGAGTTTCTTCTGTCTAACATAAAATTAACAAGTTAAACAGACCACTCCAACAAAAGGTTTAAAGTGTCCATGGATGAGTTTAGATCAGTCTAACATAAAATTAACAAGTTAAACAGACCACTCCAACAAAAGGTTTAAAGAGTCCCGCGGATGAGTTTCTTCAGTCTAACATAAAATTAACAAGTTAAACAGACCACTCCAACAAAGGTTTAAAGAGTCCATGGATGAGTTTCTTCAGTCTAACATAAAATTAACAAGTTAAACAGACCACTCCAACAAAAGGTTTAAAGAGTCCGTGGATGAGTTTCTTCAGTCTAACATAAAATTAACAAGTTAAACAGACCACTCCAACAAAAGGTTTAAAGAGTCCATGGATGAGTTTCTTCAGTCTAACATAAAATTAACAAGTTAAACAGACCACTCCAACAAAAGGTTTAAAGAGTCCATGGGTGAGTTTCTTCAGTCTAACATACCATTAACAAGTTAAACAGACCATTCCAACAAAAGGTTTAAAGTGTCCATGGGTGAGTTTCTTCAGTCTAACATAAAATTAACAAGTTAAACAGACCACTCCAACAAAAGGTTTAAAGTGTCCATGGATGAGTTTCTTCAGTCTAACATAAAATTAACAAGTTAAACAGACCACTCCAACAAAAGGTTTAAAGTGTCCATGGATGAGTTTCTTCAGTCTAACATAAAATTAACAAGTTAAACAGACTACTCCAACAAAAGGTTTAAAGTGTCCGTGGATGAGTTTCTTCAGTCTAACATAATATCCCCATCTATGGTTTCAGAATAAATGATATGAGAGGAACTTCTGGAAGCATTACCAGTCTGTGGCATCTATGATCCTGCATTAAAACCCTGCCTCTCCCACCCACTGAATGTCCTCACTCACAGACCTAACCAGGTACATCTGGCTCACATCAGTCATGCTAAGTATACAGTAATATGGTTTTCATATTTATCAAATCTTCTGAAGCAGATTAGACAAAACATGAATGTGGTTTACTCACTGTGGAAAACAGGAATCACAATTGGCTTGGACTCTGCTGACACGCCCACTCGTGTTTCACCTGTCAAGGTGATGCTATACTCCCGGTCACCCCAGACCTGGAGGTCATACGACGTTGCTGACCCCGCCACCTTCATCACCTTGCTAGTTCCATGCTCTCTGTCTTCTTGCTTTATTGTGTACAGAGTTATCTCCCCATTGGACTCTTCAAATGGTATTGGCTATTGTAAATAATAGAAATATATCTAAGACATCATGATAATTAAATGTTTCAATGAGAAAACAGTTCAGTCCCTACTTGCTCTTTCAGAGGTATTGTCTATTGAGAATAATAGGGGTACAGTGAAAACCAGGATGACATCACAATAACTAACTTCTTGGTTTGGGGGCACAGTTATCTCCCCATTGCACTCTTACCAAACCTATTGCCTGCTGATGATTGAGAACAAGATACTGGTTGCATTTGGACAAAGATCAGTGGCACTGTTGACATCTTGCTTCTCATGCATGAACGAAAGAGGAATCCAAGTTGGGAAAAAAATGTTAATAAGACCTTCCACATCGGTTGACAGTTACATTCGAACTGAGCATGGGAAACAAATGTACAGGTACTTCTGTCAAGATAAAAGGGAGTTACTTGTTTTGTCTTTTACATACCGCTAAAAACAATAAATGAGAAACTTACTGATGTGTATGTACAATATCCACAAAGCAATATAACTGCAGTTTACTCTAACAGGCCCCCTCCTATAATAGGGGTCAGAAACTTACACACATCTGTAAGTTTAAAAAAAATATTTAAGCATTACTGCCATATTTCCATTACTGCCGTCACAGACTGATGCATACCTTCCAGTAGATGGTCACAGTACAGATCGATGACTGATTACAGTCCCGGTACACAAAACTTCCGACCTGCGTTCCAGGAACACCACTTGGCACTGAAAGAGTACGAATACTCCGAACATTACTACTGACAAACACTTCAGTGAACGTCAGCGACCTTGACATTTCTTGGAGGTCATTTGAATCAGTTTCACATCAAAAGTATCAAGCGTCATCAACGTACAGTGACAACCATCAATGATACTTTGTCAGTCATGATATGTTTTTTAATCACTTGTCTTTCAAAATTAAAACAAATTCGCTGACTGTTTAGAGTACAGTACATAAAAGCACAATTTTCACAAACAAGGTTGACTACCATGTTACACTCATGAGATGCTCACTGAGTGAGTGAGGGAATAAGGTTTTATGCCACTTTAACACGTTGACTGCCACCAGAGTATACTCGTAGTATCAATGTCTGGCCGAATTTGCCACTACGAGTTATCATGTAGCTGCATCAGTGATATTTTGAAACAAGTTTCACATGTTGGCAAAACAGGCACAAGAAGCAATTGTCTCCTGGTGGAAACAAAGAACGCCAGGAGACGTTTGTTTCTTGTGCCTATTTTGCCAACATGTGAAACTTGTTTCAAAATACCATTTTGCCACTACAACATAACTCGTAGTGGCACATTTGGCCAGAATTGATACTACGAGTATACTCGTGATAGGCAGTCAACGTGTTAAACAATATCTCTGCTTTATCATAACAATTGACACAAAATATAACAGAATGAGTACCAAAATGATGCATTGTTATAAACAACACCACTAACCGTCTTCCAGAGTTTTCGCCACTATGGAGGTCGAGTCGCTGTAAAAGCCCATGGTTTCATTAGATTCATATGGTAACGGGATACACGACACTTGCAGCGTGTAGTTCATGGCAGGGTGTAGGTCACATACAGTTTCCTCTCTTGTGGTGGTGTTGAGCTGAAGACATTAGATTCCATAAATATTCCATTCACTAAAAAGACATTCCTACTTGTTTCTGACAAAGTCTATGTTCAGGAAAGTAATATAACAATGCATGTACATATCCTGATAACCTACATCCAAAATAAACACCAATCCACCGCTTTGTTGAAACAGATCAAATACCTTCTATTTCACTGTGTGGACTTTGAGTACCTTTTATGTCAGACTTGGCCACCAAATATAGGTATGCTGCATAAACCAAACACATGACACATATGAACCTGATACTGATGGAACCGAGTTTCTGCAGGATGTTACCTTCACGTGCATCTACTGGAGGTAATGACTATCCCTATCAAACAGTGAGTAGTATATTACAGGTGAATCTGCAGGGTTACCTTTAGGACAGATCCCCGCTTCTGATGAACGTGCATCTACTGGAGGTCATGACTATCCCTATCAAATGTTGAGTAGTATATAACAGGTGAGTCGGCAGGGTTACCTTTAAGACAGATCCCTGTTTCTGATGGCATCACTGGGGTTGACTATCCCTATCAAATGTTTTAAGACAGGTGAATCTGCAGGGTTACCTTTAAGACAGATCCCTGTTTCTGATGAACGTGCATCTACTGGAGGTAATAACTGTCCCTATCAAATGTTGAGTAGTATATTACAGGTGAATCTGCGGGGTTACCTTTAAGACAGATCCCTGCTTCTGATGAACGTGCACAGTATACATCATTCCCCTAGTGTGGTGTGTATGGTTCCACCGCAGAGTCAAGCACTTGCTGGTCCTGTTCCCCACAGTCAGTGAATGCACAGGGGCTGGTTCCACTGGAAACATAGAGGCAAAGATATTTACCATAGCAGCTATGGTTGACTATTATTGTAGAACCGGGATCTATATCTGATGATCTTTGATGTCAAAGAGGTTACATCAAGGAGGGCATATCTGATGATCTCAGTGAACAAGGAGGGTATATCTGATGATCTCAGTGATCAAGGAGGGTATATCTGATGATCACTAATCAAGCCAGTTTTATCTGTTGATCTCTGTGATCAAGGAGAGTATATCTGATGGTCTCAGTGGTGAAGGAGGGTATATCTGATGATCTCAGTGATCAAAGAGAGTATATCTGATGATCTCAGTGATCAAAGAGAGTATATCTGATGATCTCAGTGATCAAGGAGGGTATATCTGATGACCTCAGTGATCAAGGAGGTATATCTGATGATCTCAGTGATCAAGGAGGGCATATCTGATGATCTCAGTGATCAAGGAGGGTATATCTGATGATCTCTGTGATCAAGGAGGTTATATTTGATGATCTCAGTGATCAAGGAGGGCATATCTGATGATCTCAGTGATCAAGGAGGGTATATCTGATGATCTCAGTGATCAAGGAGGGTATATCTGATGATCTCAGTGATCAAGGAGGGTATATCTGATGATCTCTGTGATCAAGGAGGGTATATCTGATGATCTCAGTGATCAAGGAGGGTATATCTGATGATCTCTGTGATCAAGGAGGGTATATCTGCTGATTTCAGTGATCAAGGAGGGTATATCTGATGATCTCAGTGATCAAGGAGGGTATATTTGATGATCTCAGTGATCAAAGAGAGTATATCTGATGATCTCAGTGATCAAGGAGGGTATATCTGATGATCTCAGTGATCAAGGAGGGTATATCTGATGATCTCAGTGATCAAGGAGGGTATATCTGATGATCTCTGTGATCAAGGAGGGTATATTTGATGATCTCAGTGATCAAGGAGGTTATATTTGATGATCTCAGTGATCAAGGAGGGCATATCTGATGATCTCAGTGATCAAGGAGGGCATAATTTAGGCGTAAACATTCCCTCTGGATTATGGTTGCCTTATTTCTGGGGTTACCGCAGACACATACAGAAAAAATGGAAAAGAAAAACGATCCCTAAGTCATAGTTCCCTGGTAGTATGCCCTCCCCTTTAAAGAGTTATCTCCCCCTTAAATCGTGACGTAAGAGCGTGCCCTTTTAAACCTCACAATTTTTCTGTATGTGCTACGCACAGGACGTTTCAGAAATTTGGAAAAGATTCTACTGTAATTCGTTTATCATCAACAATAGTCAAGTTTTCTAGATCAAATCTACAGATTGGTCAGTACTATCACCTTGTTGGTGCTACAATTGCTTTAATTAACTTTGTGACATTATTCATTGTGACTCTGATTTTCCCGCGCTATGGCGCAATCCAAGTGTTTACACTGTCAAAAAGTCATGTTGGATTTCGATCCTCATTCATTGTGTGCAGCGTGCCGCAAGGAGCCTCCCTGTACCTTAGACATTAGATGTTTGTTGTGCTCAAGTCTCAGTAATGATGATTGGATCAAAACGCTGCTAGAATTCTGTTAAGAAGAGGAAATCTTCTGTGTCTTCTGATTCAATTAAACGTGCTAAATCCTCCTCAGACTGTCAGTCTAGTAAATCGGATAATACTAGCAAGAGTAGTTCACGTTCCTCAAAATCTAAATCTTCTGCATCGTTGGATTTGGCTGCCATTACTAACTTGTTTGGTTCGCTTAGAGACGAACTTTCCGCTTCAATGAACAAATCCTTTAATGAGCTGGAGTCACGTAATCATCTCAAGTTTTCTAGTCTGCAGAAGCAAATTGAGTCCCGATCCACCTTATGTCGATAGACCTGGAAGACGCCGGCCAGGGCCATAGTCTAGGGTCAGTACCCGTAGGCGGGTCAGGAGCTCTGTCCCAGAGAGTGGGTCATCTCCTGCCGTCTGAAGCTGAACGCCGATCCCCCGGGGTGAGGCAGCAGCATTCGAGCGGGGCAGGGACAACCGACGGGGTCGGCAGACAGCAGGATAAATCCATGGCAGGGGCCGATGGTAGCCTGCTTGTCTCGGGGTTTCAGTCGATGACGGCGGATTCCCTTAATACTTGTGCCAGTCAGCTGATTATAAATAAAAGCACGGATGCAAGCTTGCAGCACGGGCCGAGCGGGCGTGCTACGGAGCATATAGCTGTCACTGGGTCAGACCGGGGTCAAGTAAAGGGCAGTACGGCTGGCTTGGATAGCTTCGTGCAGCTCGGCTGAAATTCAGCGGTCGTCTACCTTAGGCACGGGCGGCACGTCTGATCATGCGGTTGGAGAGGTTGGGTCACTGGATATTGACAACCCTCCCATTATTCTGTTAGTCCCGGATTTTTCGGATCAGCTCGGATCTAGTGTTTACCCCGTTTCTCAACCAGCCATGGTTATGCGAGAGGGCTTAGTGACAGTCCCTTCCATGGATACGGAGGCTGAGGATTACGTACCAGGATGGTCCCTTAGAGACAAGATTGAAATTATTCATGAACTTTATCCGTCTACGGTACCTCCTCCATCGGATCAACCAGCGATGGAAATTCCCGTGGAATTAGGGACATCGGGATGTCTCCCACCTGAACGTGTTCCTAGACTTTCTCTGCCACACTCGTCTGTAGTTAAGTCAGCTTTACAAAATTATAATTCACAACTTGCCAAGGTCAAGAATGTATTGAATTTGCCTAAGGTTTTTCACAAACTGGGATACAGTATTCATGACAGGTTATTCCCCTCTGCCCCACCTGAATTGGATGATGATTTTTCTCAACTGGATCCTAGAGCATCCAAGGATCAGGTCACTCACTTATATAACAAGGATGTGCGTGATATGGATATGGCAGCTAGAGCTTCTGTGGACATATTATCCTATGTGAATTGGTTTGCAGCGGGTGTTAGGGCTCTGCTTCCTCCTGTTTTCCAAGATTATTCGGGAATAAAGAAGGATACCTTAGTGGCAATGTCTGCTCATGAAGTTGCCTTAGCACACTCCTTCCTTGATGTAGTGTACCAGGGGATCAGTGATGTCACGCATGCCCAAGTAAATACTTTAGGACGTTTGACGGCCGTCGATCGTTCTCAGCGTTACATTCTGTGAGGAATCTCCCGGATTCATTGAAGGATCAACTACTAGTATTTCAGCAACCCATTAACTCTCCTTCCATCTTTAATGGACAGTGTCATCAGGCCATTACCACTAAGGATGCTGTGACTTCGCGTAATCTTAATCAGCAATTAGCCTCGGCGCTAATTGCTCAAAATAGATCCAGAAGTGTTCCTAGAAGTAGGAGAGGTACTCCATCATCTACCATGTCTCGTTCATCCTCCGTGGGTCGTCGGGATTCCTTGCAAAGATCTGCCTTTGATTGTATGTCAGATTCCAGGACACGTTCTAATCCTGGGTTTTCACGGGAGCAGGGGCAGAGTTTCAGAGGGAGAAATAGGGGTAGAGGTTCCTTTCGTTCCTCAAGAGCGGGCGGAAGGAGAAGCTGACGCATACGTTCCAAGAACAATTTCCTCTCAGCCTTACGAACCGGTATTGTCCACGGATTCAGAGCTAGATCACATGTTTATGATTCCAGTTACTCCATCCCCTGTTGGGGGCCGGATCTCCTTGTACATAGACAATTGGAGACAGATCACACGGGACCCTTGGATCCTGTCAATTGTGAAAAGGGGTTTTATCTTACCATGGGACAGGCTACCTCCAGTAACGATCCAGCCCATGGGACGGAGATTTTTTCTACAGGAACCACGCCTGTGTCTGCGGCTACTCAGGCAATAGAACAATTATTGGAGAAACGGGCGGTATTAGAGCTCCCCAGTCACGATACCTCCCGGGGGTTTCATTCTCCAGTGTTTCTTGTCCCCCAAAAAGACACACAAGAGATGCGAATGATTATAGACCTGAAGATTCTAAACAAAGAATTCCTCCAAAAACCACCAACATTCAAGATGGAATCGCTCAGCAACCTTCGTATTCTCATCCGTCCTCACTCAAAATTCATAAGTACAGATCTGAAGGATGCATATCTTCACATCCCGATTCATCAACGCTCCCAAAAATATCTCAGATTTGCAGTCAACGGCCAAAGATTTCAATTTCTAGTCCTTCCGTTTGGAATATCCCTAGCACCTTGGCTCTTCACGGTAATGATGAATCCTATACTAAACTTTCTCCATCGCTGGAACATCGCCATTCACGGATATCTGGACGATTTTTTAGCAAGGAATATTATCACTCAGACTTTAATCAAGCAGACCAAGTTCATCATCCATGTGTTCACTCATTTGGGTCTAATTGTACATCCCGACAAATCAGAGTTAATTCCAACTTCAAGAATCAAGTTTTTTGGGGCGATCCTGGATTCTCGAGTGTCTCACATTTATCCTCCGTCGGATCGCTGGTTAATCCTAAAGACAGGATTCTACATCTCATAAGTGCACCCCAACATCACACTCACGGCTCTTGGATGTCTCTCCTAGGATCACTAACGTCAATTCAATTTTTACTCAACGAGGCAGGATCCATTTACGGGAGTGTCAGGTGTGGATCAACCAGAACAGACATTTAGACCTAGACACGCTTCTTCCTTTTCCACAGAAACTAAAAGGAGAACTACTTTGGTGGACCAACGAGGCCAACATCCTGTCGGGAGCACCCTTTCGACCTCCGCCTCCAGACCTGACGATGTACACAGATGCTTCCACCTCGGGCTGGGGTGCACATATGGGTCATCTGCAACTTCAAGGCATCTGGTCAGACCAGGAGAAGAGTCTGCATATCAATGTTCTCGAGATGTTAGCCATAGTCAGAGCACTCGAACATTGGTCTTGGTGTCTCCACAAAAAAGCTATTATGGTGGCCACAGACAACTCAACCGTAGTCTGCTATGTGAACAAGCAGGGAGGGACAAGATCCCACCAGCTACTTCGTGCAACTCAGAGGCTGTTTACAATTGTGGACTTGACCAAATGTTCAATCAGGGCACGTCACATTCCGGGCAAGTTCAATATTCTAGCGGACTCTCTATCCAGGCAAGACAGGATAATTACAACCGAATGGACTTTACACGACGAGGCTTTCAACATGATCTCTCAACGTTGGGAGACTCCGATGATAAAGCTGTTCGCCACGCGTCGCAACAACAAACTTCCAGTCTACGTAAGTCCAGTTCCAGATCCTCTAGCTTGGGCGGTGGATGCTCTTTCAATCTCGTGGGACAGAATGATAGCCTATGCCTTTCCTCCCTTCAGGTTGATTCCGGAAGTGCTCAGCAAGATCTATCAGCACAATTGTGTAATATATCTAGTGGCTCCTGCCTGGGCCACGAGGACATGGTTCCCGACCCTACTGGATCTCCTCATCGACACACCGATGTTACTTCCAAATTGGCACAATCTCATCAGTCAACCGGAATCGAACCGATATCACAAGAACATTCAGCAACTTCAACTGCACGGTTGGAAGTTATCCGCAAGTCACTTCAACAGCAGGGTTTTACAACAGAAACCACTGTGGCTATCTCTCAATCAATCAGATCTTCCACATCATCACTGTACAATACCAAATGGGCTCGATTCATCAAGTGGAGAAGACTGCATCAGCTCTTAGATTCTCCCATTACTATTCCGCAAATTGCTGAATTCTTACTCTATCTTAGGAAGGAAAGGAAGCTTAGACATGGCACAATCGAAGGATACAAGTCCGCAATCGCGTCGGTGTGTGATATTCAGGGATTAGGTGTGGGATCTAATAATTCTCTGCATAGACTTATCAGATCTTTTCAAATTAAAGATGTGTCTACTCCTGCCATGTTTCCAAAATGGGACCTCTGTTTAGTACTTAAATCATTACAAAGGACTCCATATGAACCACTTCAGAATGCTTCGCTAAAATTCCTCTCCTTCAAAACAGCGTTTCTTTTGGCCTTTGCTACAGCTTCGAGAGTGTCTGAACTACATGCTCTAGATTTCCGTTCAATCATGTTTGCGGATGGATATAAGGAAATCACCTGCAGAGCTCTTCCTGAATTTATTGCCAAAAACCAGTCTTCAGCTTAGGGACCTTTAGGTCAGAGAGTATACAAGATCCCGGCTCTTCCAGATACATCATCTCGATCAGACAGATCTAGACTTCTTTGTCCAATTCGCGCACTACGATGGTATATTCAACGTACGCGCACAGTTTTAGACGGAATCGTCGCAGGCTATTTTTATCTTGCAAAACTAATATGAACACTGAAATCTCTAAGAACACTTTGGCATCCTGGCTTAGAAAGACGATTGCTTATGCATACCAGGATTGTGATCAGGACTTAATTAACGTAAAGTTATCACCACACGAGATCAGAGCGTAAGTGAGCTCCTTAGCTGCTTGGAGATCGGTTTCAGTGGAACAGGTTGTGTCAGCTTGCCAGTGGAAGTCAGCTAATACTTTCATCAACGCCTACCTCAGAGATGTCGCCTCTTCCATGGATGGGTTGAAGAACCTTGGTCCCCTGGTGGCGGCTCAACATCTCTCCTCCGCTTGATCCTTCTTTGGGGGGAACAAGGGTGTGTGTGTGTGTGTGTGTGTGTGTGTGCGTGTTGCTCAAGAAGTTCCGCATGCAGCGGGATACTGTCTGGCCTGTGAAGGATGGGGATCTGCCGCTACTCAAGATACTTTGTGGGGTGAGAGCCTAAATTATATCATGGTCTCTCTAACTTAGTTTTGAGTCACGTGTTATTCAGTGGATTGGTATACCACTATCTTTATTGTTTTCCACCGAATACGTAACCTAAGGGAGAATAGGACGTTAGGCACCAGAAGTGACATCATTAACCGGAAGTGACGTCATTTTCCAGGAAGTGACGTCAATGACCGGAAGTGACGTCATGAAACCCGAAGTAAGGTCATTAATCCGGAAGTGACGTCATAGACTCCCGTTAGATTTTTGGTTTATTGCTATCCTTCACAGTTGGATCCTTTTCTTGGTGTCGGGTTAGTCAACTAACTTTAGAAGAATGATCTCTAAGCCAGTTTTTTATATATAAAACGTTTATTCGTATAGCGCTGTCATAGTTCCCAATTCTATCCATATATTTAAGGATTATTCTGGAAATATGCCCTAAGTTATCTATTAGTCTTCTGCTCATTCCCTCCTTTCCTTATGTGGGATTCAGGCAACCATAATCCAGAGGGAATGTTTACGCCTAAATTAGGAACAATTACAAGTATTGTTAGTAATTGTTAGTAAACTTACCTCTGGATTATGGGGTTTAGTTCCCTCCCTTTTTTCCTCCCCGCTAATCATGGCAGAAGAGTCTGTTATTCATAAAAATTGTGAGGTTTAAAAGGGCGCTCTTACGTCACGATTTAAGGGGGAGATAACTCTTTAAGGGGTAGGGCATACTACCAGGGAACTATGACTTAGGGATCGTTTTTCTTTTCCATTTTTTCTGTATGTGTCTGTGGTAACCCCATAAATAAGGCAACCATAATCCAGAGGTAAGTTTACTAACAATTACTAACAATACTTGTAATTGTTCCTATCTGATGATCTGAGTGATCAAGGAGGGCATATCTGATGATCTCTGTACTAAAGGAGGTTACATCTGATAATCTCACCTTTAATACAGCATATCTCACATATCATACAACATATCTCACCTATAATACAGTATGTCTCACCTTTAGTACAGTATATCTCACCTATAATACAGCATGTTTCACCTATAAGAGATTATATCTCACCTTTAGCACAGTATATCTCACCTATTGTTAACGTATCCACCATAGTGTAGTTGGAGACAGCTTCATCCTTGACACTCTTATACTGGTCACTGTCATAGATTGTAACATTAACTATCATGACGTATGTTTCAAGTTTGAAAGAATCTGCACCATCATTCTCCTTCCAGCTGCATGTAGTTGTAGTCTCGTGAGGACAGGCGTATAAACCCCCCAATCTGGAGGCAGAGACGGATAGATGTATCAATGTATCACACATGTGTACCTGCTGACACACAATATCATTCCCCAGGTAGTGATTCTATCATATTTTTGCATCCATTTTCAAAACGTAATATTTCATTTTCACATTATGTGAGGGAGTTTAGTTTAAGGCCACTTTTAGCAATATTCCAGCAATATCATGGCGGGGGACACCAGAAATGGGTTTCACACATTGTCCACATGTGGGGAATCTAACCCGGGTTTTTGGTGTGTCTAGCGAAAGCTTTAACCACTAGACTACCCCTACATCCTCTGTTTACATTAAAACTGCTTGAGAACCACTAAAATTGAAAATAAAATGCCAAATATGATTGAACTATATTACAAGAAGATTAGCATGAGGCAATATAACACGTCTTTGTTTGGTTAAAATAACAACTTTACATGGAATGAGAAGATTTGAAATAAAAAAACAGGCAGCATAACACACAATTTCCAGCTCATTGATGCACCTTTGGTGTTAAATTCTATTCAGTTTGGTTGAATACACATGTAACGTATACTTTGAAAACACAGTACAGCATAAGATGTTTATAATGAACTTGTTAATAAGAAACTGACAGATGTAACAAACAGGACTGTTACCCCACTTACTGCATATTTTAGTTGATATGTGTGTAATGAAAGATGGTTATAACAAACTAAAACTGGTGTTCCCTCTGAGTTCAGAAAAACTATAGTTCCTGGATGTTATTTCCTGGACTATGTAACACATACTAACCCTTGTTGACAGGAAACCAGTCCTAAAATAGCGCTCATGTCTGTATGTTCAACTCTTCTGGAGATACAGTTTTAAAGCATGTTGAAATGTGCCGCACTGATAGGGCATTCAAAATTCAAATGATAACAAGATAAAGCTCCACTTACATTCCCCATTGCAGTTGAACTTTAAGTCGATTCATATTTATATAGTCCACGCCCAGGTCCCACCAACACATCATGTTCTTCCAGTCAAACACACGGCAATCGATTTTCTCCACCATCTTCGGCCGATCTGGAACAGACATGACAATATTTTGGTGATCGGTGAGTGAGTAGTCGGGTGGGTTTGTGAGTGAGTGAGTGATGCTGCTTTAATCAGTGTTCCAATCATACTGACAACTGATAGTGTATCTGCCCTAACAGATCCGAGTCTGCTAGGATTCTGACCTTGTGAAATCAAGTAGAATGCCCTGTCTACACGACCACAGAGGTTAACCCTGTCAGTTATTATGTCATCTGTGGGATAACTCCACCTCTGTCAAGAGTAGAGGCGTCCCATGCTGCATAGTAGGGTCCTGAGATGTATTTTCCGCAAGTATAATGTCAGTGTGTTCAGCCCATGTTGGATTCAAACCACAGACCTCATCTCAGGCCAGATGCTTTGTCCACAAGATTTCTCAGTCATGATTTGAACAACAGACTTTCCAATCTCAGGTCGGACACCTTGTCCACATGACGAAAGAGTATACACAGGTCTTGGACGTGCATCACACTGGTGAAACTTACAAATATAGGTAGAACCTGGTTCATCTGAGATTAGAACTAAAAAGTACTGTTTTCTTTTTTGACCAAGAGATGCAAGATGCAAAATTTATGGTTTGCTCATACAAATGCATGATCAATACAAGGCCAAAATATAAAATATATATTAAAAGTTCCTTTACTGACTTCTCATGTACCAAATTACAAAATGACAAATGGCAGAAATGACTAATAGCTAGAAATAGCTTTTTCCAATGTGATTGCCATGTCGGCCATATTGAAAATATGATTAAAACTTCAAGCGGAAAATGGTGACAAGCATGTTTGGTTTCAGCTCCATTGCCAATATAACTCCTTGTAGCCATATCTGATGTCTGATAAAGATGCCTTCATCTCACAACTAAATATGGTAACCACCTGATCAGCCAACTTCATGTTTTACAAAAGATATTCCTAAAATCAAATGTCTTCCAAGTGGTCCCACTGAAATTCCTTGATGCCTCGAACAACTTCACGCCCTTCAAATAATAAACATACCTACAAAATTTCAGCTGAATCTAGGATCAATCTTAAAAACCCCCACACACACACAAAGGCAGAGCTACAGATAACTTTATGGGTCATTGAGTAATGCACTCGCTTGTGTTCATCTCAGTTGGGTATCCTAATTTTCCTTTGAGTAACCAAATAAATTATACCCACCTCACTCAAACTGAATTGGGTATTTTGCCATTTTCCACTATTTGTGAAAATAGAATAAAGTTTAAATCTTGGTTTACGTGTGTGTTATTTATATTTGATCTGTAATATGAGAAAATATAAGAAAGGCTGCAAGTTGCCAAGTTCATGGGCTGAAATAGAACCTCTCAATATACCTCAGTTATTTTATCTATCCTCAGTAACCTCCATCTGTAGCACATGGGTCTGCTTACTCCAAATTCTAGTAGGTTTGCTGAATGTTACAGTATGCACGCTAAGATTTGACATTTTAGTCTCTCGCATGTAAGATCAAATTTGTTGAGTATTTACAAATTCAAGCATACTTGCACGCAATAGAGTTGATAGGAATTGAGTTTTCACATAAATATTTGCATAATTTACGCAGATACGCAGCTTATCAATACCTCTGCAAAGGATGACAAGTGAGAGAACTTTGAGAACATCTACACCTCACATGGCCTTTGATGTGAGGTAAACAAGGTAGTCAACTTACATTCGATGGAGGTGTACTGGGAATCTATGATGACACTGCTTTCATCCGTCTTGTTGAGCTTACACACGTACGACCCCTGATCGATGCCTGAAGTGATGGGGTAGTCCAGTTGTATGGATCGGTTACCTAGAAGGGTGATGTACTGCATCGGCAGCACCTTCTCAACATCATCAAAATCTTTAACGAAGAACAGTGATCCTGAGACGTTGCCAGGGTAACTGTCTGAGGTCACGGTGCAGTTCAAGGTCAAGGTCTCATTAATGAATGCATATGGATTACTGGGACTCACTTCTGAAGATAAAAGTAGAAATTGCATTTTGAATAATACACTTTGTACCAATGTGATGAATTGTTTCCTGCAACATTAGTCCTTATCTCACTTCATCTAATGTGAAACACATCATGAGTTGTTTGCTATGATTGACAGAGGACACAGAAATATATTGTGATTTTATTATTATATGAGAATTCTGTCCATCTGAGTTAAAATATAACATACACCATACAAAGGAACACGATTTCATGAAACTAAATTCAAAAGTATCATTGACTAACTCAGTCACATGACCAATCAGGAGAACTAAACTTTAACAGAAGCAAATAAGTAAATTGAGAATACACACAAAACATCGTTTATGCTGAGTTATGAAAAGTTCTGAATTTTAATTTGCATGCACAACACTTGCTGTAAAGATGGTTACATTTGCTCAAGGTATAAAACACTCACTTCCATTGGACAGTCCCTCTAGGAATGCAAGGTTGTGGCTGAGGGACACAACAAGTACAACTGCACTCAGTATACCTCTACTTTCTGGTACCCCTGTCATGCTGTTGTCATGTTGTCATGGGAACCACTCCTGCAAACAGAAAATATGTCATGACATTTTGAAAACTGATGTTCCTTACTTAAGTACCCCGAAAGGAAGACTTGATATATGCAAATATCAAATTTAGTGAAAGACTAAGAAATAATAATCAGTTTTACCAAACATTTTGATGACAGTATAATCTGCCCAACATATTGTTCATAATTCTTATTTCTAGTAGACTAGTCATTCATTTTTAATTATACAAAACAAATTGCCGCAAATATAATTCCAATAATTATAAACATATATGGATTGATGGCCATACGGACCAGCTTGCCCATCGTACATCGCCGTATATACTCCCTCTATAAAGGTAGAAGCTACTAGGGAACAACCAAAAATAACATTTACAAATTTGTAAGAGTTATTAGTTTATAGAAATAGTTGTCTGCTGTTAATGAAATTTTGTTTGTATGTTGTTTAAAGCTGCAGTCAGCAATATTCCAGCTATACGCAGAGCTCCAGATAAGATTTACCTCATGTGGGTACCGTACCCACTGTATTTTCTTGGAGTAGGCATTATGAATGTTGAGTGGGTATTTCATTTTCAGTTACCCACTGCTTTCAAATATGTGCGTATTTCAGTCATTTTACTCACCTAAGTATTATGTCATTGAGTAAGTTTACTATGCAGGTATGTTCTGCCTTACGTCATACCTAATCAAAACCAACTTAAATATAATGGAAATGATTTCATAAAAAATCGCTCATCTTATACTGACAGTACAACACTTGTCCTATACTAACAGTACAATTTGATAGCAATCGATGTCTTTTTCATAATGCAAGCTATTTTTATAAATATATTCCGCACGCATTTGTTTTAAACTTTTTGGGTATCTAACATTTTAAATGCGTAATTGGTACGCAACAAATATTTTTCAATGCGTAACTAGAAGTTTTCTTTGCGTATTTTACCCCTATACGCAGCTTATCTGGGCCTCTGATATGTCAGGGTCTGTAAACAATCGAATCTGAACCAGAAAATCCAGTGATCAACATCAAGAGCTTCGATTTATGCATTTGGGATACGATGACTTGTGTCAACCAAGTCAGCGAGTCTGACAACTAGATCCCATCTGTCGCCTTTTACAACAAGCATGAGTTGCTGAAGACCAATTCTAACCCGGATCTTAAAGGGAGACAAGCATGGGTTGCTGAAGACCAATTCTAACCCGGATCTTAAAGGGAGACAAGCATGGGTTGCTGAAGTCCAATGCTAACCCGGATCTTAAAGGGAGACAAGCATGGGTTGCTGAAGACAATTCTAACCCGGATCTTCACGGGGAGACAAGCATGGGTTGCTGAAGACCAATTCTAACCCAGATGTTCACGGGGAGACAAGCATGGGTTGCTGAAGACCAATTCTAACCCGGATCTTCATGGGAGACAAGCATGGGTTACTGAAGTCCAATTCTAACCCAGATCTTCACGGGAGACAAGCATGGGTTGCTGAAGACCAATTCTAACCCGGATCTTCACGGGAGACAAGCATGGGTTGCTAAAGACCAATTCTAACCCGGATCTTCATGGGGAGACAAGCATGGGTTGCCGAAGACCAATTCTAACCCAGATCTTCACAGGTTGATGAAGGAATTGGGAAGACATTAGTGACAGTAGGTGACATGACCACCTACTGACTGACTGACTGAGTTTGGTTTTACACCGCTTTTAGCCATATTCCAGCAACATCACGGCGGGGGACACCAGAAATGGGCCTCACACATTGTACCCATGTGGGGATTTGAACCCGGGTCTTCGGTGTGACGAGCCAACGCTTTAACCATTAGGCTACCCACCCCCATGATCACCTACAGTACTGAAGGATGATATAGTAAGACGCTTGAGATGCTAGGGTCTAAGGGCTGCATGACCAATGCATGATTGCAAATTCCATTCTCAGCAAAGTCACTGAAAACAATGCATTCTGACACATTTGTGTGATTTTAAGTTGTCAAAATTATATTGTTCCTATGAAGTCAGTTTGGCGTGAGAAGTATCAGTTTAGTTGTGTTAGCGTGACATGAGCAACAAAAGCATGAGTCTCACACCAAAGGAGCGGGAGTTGGCAGGTATGCAAGATAATATGGCAATTTACAAGTTGACATTTTGGAATTAGCAGTGAGTAATACAGCTAGGATTTCTAAAAAAATATATTCACTTAAACAAGCATACTTCGTCATGCTATGATGTAATTACAAGTAAATGGCTTGTATCAGATTTGTGAAAAGACCTGGAAACACAAAGCAAAAACACCAAATCACCATTTTAACCTATAGACCTTGTCAGTAGAGTGACAATGTGGGCTTAGAATGCTTATAGTAATATTCCATATTATTACACACATGTTCTGAATATCTTTATGAGATAATTTTGGTTATTTGAAACAGGTGATGTGTAACCAGTTGAAAGTTATCCAACGATTGTTGTGTACCCATCGGCTGTTTTTCAACGACACATTTGTCACCACTCGTCACTTTCCATAAAATTCTGCTTGTCACGGAATAACACGAGTTGGTCACGAATGTCAATGACAGTGACGTCATAATGCCACCTCTATATGTCAAATTAACATTAAACTCCATTCAAGCAGTTTTTTACCAAAAATATCAACCTAACAAAACATTAGGTTAGTGGATAATTAAAATTCAATTTTGGTGTCCTCGGGATTTGTAGTTTTTTTCAACTGAATATTTTTCATTGTTTATTTTCATCTATAAAGTAGGTGTGACAGAGTTATCTCCCTTTTGTTTTGTTTACATCCAGCATCGTCTGCTTAAATCAAAAAGTTGAAAAATATGTTCTTGGAATATTTTCATATTCAACACCCACTCATTTTGTAATCTCTATTTATCAACATCAATACCATAAATAATATTAATACAAAACCAGGAATATCAAGAATGGGTTTGTACACTCTCTATTTATTTACCTCAGTTAAATCCATGTATGATTTCATGTCCTCTCTTCTGGGAAAGGAGAAGTCTTCTAGTCTCCCAGATACTACAGATATGTCATCTCTTGCAGAGGATTTTAGCAATTACTTCGTGGATAAGATAGCAAAGATCCGTTCAGATCTTGACAGGTGTGAACTGTCTGAGTCTCTACAAGGCGACATTGTAACCTCAGATATGTATCTTGACAAATTTGATGTATTCAGTGAGGAAGAGGTAAAGAAACTGATAGCAGCTTCAACACCAACCTTCTGTGTGATGGATCCCATCCCTACCAGATTCACGCTAGAGTTTGTGGATATTCTCCTTCCGGTCATTACACAAATCGTAAATCTCAGCTTGATCTCAGGGCATGTTCCAGAATGCCTGAAACAAGCTACTGTGAAGCCTTGATTGAAGAAACCAAGCCTTGACGCTGATGATTTGACCAATTACAGACCCGTCTCAAATCTATCCTTTGTGTCCAAAGTACTGGAAAAAGCTGTGAAGACCTGCCTTACTGCTCATTTAAAGAACCACAGTCTATACGATGAATTCCAGTCAGCGTATAGGAGCAATCACAGCACTGAGACAACTTTACTCCATGTAATGGATACCCTGCTTGGAGCGGTAGACTCTGGCAAGGCCTGTGTACTCGTCCTTCTTGAATTATGGGTAGCGTTCGATACGATAGATCACAAACAGCTTCTTGATTGTCTACAAAACCGTTTTGGATTAGGCGGCTTTGTTCTAAGATGGTTTTCCTCATACCTATCAGAACGATCTCAGTTTGTGCTCATCCAAAATACTAGATCTCAGACATGCAACCTTTCATGTGGTGTCCCACAAGGTTCCGTGTTGGGGCCGATGATATTCACTCTATACACCAGCAGTCTTGGGGACCTTATTACTCGGCATAACATCTTACATCATTGTTATGCTGATGATACTCAACTTTTAAGAAAACTCAATGTTAATGATGCAAAATCACAAGTTGCAGAAGTTGAAGTGTGTGTAGGCAATGTGAAGACATGGATGACCGCAATCTTCATGCGTCTGCACTGGTTACCACTCCCAGCTAGGATAGAATACAAAATACTTAGCATGACTTACAGATGTCTTAACAACGCAGCACCATCCTATCTCTCTAGTCTTGTAAGAGAGTATGTTCCAACCAGGACTCTGAGATCAGCCAATCAGTAGCAGCTCATCATCCCAAATGCACGTCTGAAGACATATGGACACCGACGTTTTTCCTACTTGTCAGCTATCCTCTGGAACAATCTGCACGTGTCTCTCAAAGAATCCCCTCAATAGCCAGCTTCCAGTCTAACTTAAAAACTTTCCTGTTCAAGAAGCACTATGACATCTAAATGAACTCCTATTGTAAATATGTATATAGTTAGAGCCATGAGCAACCACTTGGTGATTGGATATAGGGCGCTATACAAATGGACTTATTATTATTATTGTTATCAACATAAATACCATAAATAATATTAATACCAAACCAGGAATATCAAGAATGGGTTTGTACACATTGTACCCATGTTTGGGATCAAACCTGGACTTTTGGGGTAATAAGCCAGTGTTTTAACCACTAGGCTATCCCACTAATACTTAGTACGGTTATATGTCCTTGTTTGTAGAGGAAGTGTTGATAGCCTTGTTGATTACAGCATCCGGGAAACTTTCACAAAAAGCTCAGAAGATACATATGACATTGCCCCAAGGAAAAACGTTACACATTTATTAACGTTTAATACAAAATTAGACACAACGCAACACAACCATACACATTATTCTACTTTTTGAAAAAGATGTTTTTCTTTCACAACCGAGAACTGTCTTCCAGATTATTAAAACTGCTACCCCGTCTTTTCTTTCAAATCACAGCTCAAGACATACCGGTACTTGTTTGATCAATGCTACCAGTTCCAGTGTTAAACTCGCTGCCAGTACACAGAACACATCACAATTGTTAATTGATTTAAACATGCAGGTTATCATTATCATTGTTCACCTCCAAGATCTGACGGACAGAACTTTCCTGTT